AGACAAAACCCCCCCTCTCTGTTCATATTTTCTGGATGCAGTTCTTCTACCCTGAAGATGGAGGCGATACGTTCCTCCGAAACGTCGGTTAACACCACATACACACGGCGCCAAATCCCAAAAGACTGCTTTCTTCATAGTCAGCGCCGTGAAAGCCTCAAATCTTACATTTTCTTCAGTCCTTACAAACCATGATGTCCCTACCTTTCAATGAACTTACCGATAATAATTTGGCTTGAATGGCCCAGCTTTATTGAGGCCCATATACTTTGCTTGCTCATCTGTGAGTTCCGTTAAATGAGCATCGAAGGTGGGAAGATGTAAGCTGGCCACATACTCATCTTAAAGAGGATTCAAACATTACTTCAGCAGCGTAAAAATGGAATGACTGCACACAAGGTAGATTTATTTACTTTCAAGCTTTGTAAATTTATTTCTTTTTAATGTGACACTAAACTGGAGCTTATGGTTCAAAACACCCCGGTATGTACTAGTCTTCCTCTTAATTAGGTAGTCACACCTGTTCACTTCTGATTTATATCTCAACTTAAAAAAACACTTAATTGTTTTCAAATGTTTCAATCACTGTAAAGATACTGAAAAATTAAATGACTTCAAAAACCCTAGGGAATTCGGTTTTATATTATGAAGATACAATCTGATAATCAAAATTGTAGAAAAAACAATGTTAGTTTTTTACTTATCAACATAACAGGGATGTTCATTTGACATAATACAAGCTCATCAGCATTCCTAAAACCTTATGTCAGGACAATTTGAAACATTTTAACTGACTATGCTTAATGTTTCATACAGAAAACATCAAAGTGCAGAACATTCCAGATAAATTACAGGAACAATATTATACATACCCATTTTCTTCGGAAGTAAATAAACATCAGACTTGTATCGGCCATGTGGGGCATTGAATAACTCTATAAGAGCAAGCGCCTGAAAAGAATAAAGGTAAATTTGTCCCTGTGCTTAACTAATTAAGCACTATGCCATGAAGGCATATGGGGGAGTGGTATAATTATCTATAAATCTGAAATATGATGCAGACATGAAGTAGCTATTGTATGGTTAAATATGCCATGCATGGATACTCCAATCTGTATACACAAGCAATGAAATAAATGTTGATTTAGACTTCAGAATTTAACCTTTACCATTCAGAAATGGAGGTTTTATATCTCCCAGTGCTACACAAGTGACAGGCTTTAATGCAGGGCAACAGCTTATTGTCAGGTAACAAGTAAAGTAAAAAGTAAAGTTATCACTGTACTAAATTAAGCACTANTTAAATATACATAACACTATACCATGTTTAATTGTAAATAAAATATGGTATAGTGCTACACAGGTGACAGGCTTTAATGCAGGGCAACAGCTTATTGTCAGGTAACAAGTAAAGTAAAAAGTAAAGTTATCACTGCACTAAATTAAGCACTATGCCTTTAAGATGTACGGGGGACTGGACGTATAGCACCAGCATTTTTAACCTCGGCACTAGATGGCGGTGAGTGGTCGACTTCATGCTCCTGTCATTTTAACCCAGTACCCATTGCACAGGAGGCTGGATGGGGCCTAAAGGCAGTCTGGATGCTAGGGGGAACAGAAAGATCCCTTGACCCGCTGGGAATCTAACCCCGATTTCTTGCTGGTCCAGTCCGCTACGTATCCCCTATGACTAACCTATCCTCGCTTTCACAGTGACATTTAAATCTCCTGCTTTTACAAGTCTGTGGGCCATACTTCAACAGAGGGATAACAGTACGAGCACTGAGAAAATGTAAGGCTCGGCGAGCTAGGCCAAGTAACGCACAATCCAACAAATTTGACACATGGCTGATAGGGGTTAGTTCATATTTAGCCATTAATTCCAAGAAATCAGACACATTGTTTTCACTGACATTAGAGAGATCAAAAAGTAATCAGCAGATCCATTTCATATTAAATTCATCAGAACTATTACTTCAAGTGAAAATGGCACAAGATGCTGACACATGTTCAGTTTTGAGCATTTTTATAATATAGATGTGTTAAAACTGAACTGTGTAATAATCTGAATTGCAGTTTGTAGTCACAAACACCATTGTAGAGATGGATTTTAAACTTAAGAATACATTTGAGACTCCAATCCCAATGTACAATAACAAAAGTCTAGAATTCTTGAACGAAATACATTCAAATACTGAATGCAAAAGGGGGCACAGAGTAGCGTATTGGTTGAGGCACTATGCTATAAGCCAGAAGGTCGTGGGTTTAAGTCCCAACGAGGTCACTGGATTTTTTCAATTGACCTAACTCTTCCAGCCGCACTATGGCCCTGGGGTTGACTCAGCCTCTAACAGAAATGAGTACTAGGAATTAATTAAATAATTTTCCTGGGGAGTAAAGTGCGGCCGGAGCGTAAGGCTGACAACCTTACCACCATCCTTGAGCCGACTGTCTAGATAATGTGGGACCCTCAACATCTCACAACCCTATGAGCCTTCATAGCCTGGTACAGGGACAGCTTCACTTTTTTTTTACTTACTGAATGCAAAAATAAATATTTTTCAAAATTCAACATACAAAAGTCTTAAAATGTTTCACATTAATTTTATATCCATGTCCATAAACTCTACTCATACCAAACTTCACCTCTTGCACCTAAACAAGTTATCCTGAAACTGAGAAGCAACTACTTGTAGAATCTTGATACAGTGAAATCCACCACACAGACCTAATTATGTAGTAACTTTCATTAGTGCAAAGTTATAACATATTCAGAACACCAATACAATATTCAACAGGCAGATATTTCAAGTTAAAATGGATAAAATGTGTATGTATTTCACAAAATTTAAAACACCAAATCATACTAATGTTGCCAGTCCTTCATTTTATCTATCAGCAAAGGGGGGCGCTGAAACAGGTACTGTGTTGTGACAGATATGCGAACAAACAAGAAATAATGTATCCATCTCCAAATTCCTGCAACTAACACAAAGGCAATACTTTCACATTAATGACTGAACAACAAGGTAAAGGGTAGGCCAACACAGATTTCTGAAAGTTTGTAACTCAAATTCATTCCAATGGGTTTTGTGGGCACAGCAAATATTATCAAAAACTTTGTGGCGATGGTATATTACTACATGTATTATGTTTTTGAACATTATCCATTTCTCCAGAGATAGGGGCTACTGGACCCAATTGAGTAAGTTTTACCTGAGGACGGGACAGAATCCAGTCTCCAAAACGTTGTTTTGAAAAAGAAACAGATTTTTTTTAAAAAATAGACAAAACAATGGATAATGTCCAAAAACATAATACTTGTAACAGAAAATATTCACTCTCAGCCAATGACATGCATTTCCATCATAATTCAAACAAAGCAATGCAAACTTCATTTGGGAGAACCTGGCATCGTTACATCGCAACTGTAGAAGCTACGAGTGGACAGGACAGTTTGAGTGTACCTGTGTTGCAGCTGTAATGGACACAACAAAGGATGGAAGGCTGGAACAGCTCAAATTAACCAAACGTCCTTCAGCCAACAGTACAATTCGTCTTCCGTCTGGCCAGATTACATGGTCCACTTGGGATCGAACTTTCTCCCATGTTAGATCTGGAGTGCGGAGACTATTCTGCGGAAAGTAATTGTACATATAATATCACCTCATGGTGCCTCTATCACAACAAATGGGAGAAGTTTAACAGACCACAAAACAGTTAAAAGTGCTGCATATTGTCTTTTTCAAGTCCATACAAGGTTTATAGACACACTTTTACCTAGCATCATGCCAACTGCAATGAAATTATTCTTAAACCAGGATCGTAACAAAAGTTTCCCATGTACTTACTTACTTACTCACTCACTCACTCACGGAGCTGAGCCCTTCTGCAGGAGCCGCAGCTACTCAAGAATTTCCCAGCATTTTATGGAACCTGAAGGTTCATTACTGTGTTCACAAGAGCCCTCCACTGGTCCCTATCCTGAGCCAGATCTATCCAATCCATACCATCCCATCCTATCTCTCTAAGATCCATTTTAATATTGTCCTTCTGGCTTTCCTGCCAATATCCTATATGCATTCCTCGTCTCCCCCATTCATGCTACATGACCTGCCCACCTCATCCTCCCTGACTTGATCATTCTAATTATACTTGGACAAGAGTACAAGTTATGAGGCTCCTCATTATGCAGTTTTCTCCAACCTCCTGTCACTTCAACCCTCTTCGGTCCAAATATTCTCCTCAACACCCTGCTCTCAAACACCCTCAGTCTATGTTCCTCTCTTAATGTCAGAGACCAAGTTCCACACCCATAAAAGTTTCACGTGTAGCTTCAAATATTCACAGAATTACCATGAATTATTCTTCCATATGTTTACTGTTGCCTTAATTAAGTAGATAGAGTGCTCCAGAGTTCATACTTTCTTAGTGGTTTATCTGCGATATAATGTATGAGGCAGTACATTTACAATTAATTAATTAATATTTAATGGTCATTCAAGGAACTTTCACAATGACCCATGATACACACGTGCATGAATGGCAATGAGAGATGATTTATATTCTGCGCCAGTCAACGGATATGTGGGTTGTCAATCTGTAAGACATAATATTACCTAACAACTTACTTACTTACTTACTCATGGAGCTGAGCCCTTCTGGATGAGCTGCCAATTCTGCAGCTACTCGAAGAATTTCTCAGCATTTTATGGAACCCGAAGGTTCTTTACTGTGTTCACAAGAGCCCTTCACTGGTCCCTATCCTTAGCCAGATCAATTCAATCCATACCATCGCATCCTATCTCTCTAAGATCCATTTTAATATTGTCCACTCACCTATGCCTTGGTCTTACCTAACATCTATCGTCAAAAGGACAAGGAAAATGGGACAGACCATAAAAAAGACGGCATGAACATTTCTGATCTGAACCCTGGAGTTTGGAAGTCTAGTATGACCAATCCCTGTAGATTGTCACCAACATTATCTTCGTTGCATAAAAATACAGAACTAGTTTCCACCGTTGACAAAGAGTAATGTAAGTCTGAGAAAAGTGCTCACTCAGTCATTGCTGAAGTTGAATTCTTATGTCTTGCATCAGAATAAAAAGTATCTTCAAACTGTCACTGCAAAATTTAGTAACAACGAAAGAGGGATTATTATAATACCTAATTACTATATAAAAATACACAATTAGCTTTCAGTGCTACGCATATGACTGCAACTAAAGCCACAGTTATGTGCCGTACATGCATGTTAAGCAGCAGTGAATGTGTTAACAATAAATGTTATGAAGTTTAAATGTAAGTCCATAAAGTCTCACTACTGCACATTGAACATCATATAATCATCTATAACATTTTACTAGTTCTGTTAAAGAATAAAAAAATGGCTCTATTTTTAAATGATTATTTTATTTTGCTATACCAACTGAGTGACCGCCTCATGTTGGCGAAGTTAGTGCCAACTTTTGTGGATAGTGTGTGTCATGTGGTCAGCGCAACGGATCACGGTGGCCGTTAATCTCGGTTTTATAGACTGGAGTCACTATTTCCTTGAAACAGCTCCTCAATTATCCTCATGAGGCTGAGTGGACCCCATTCCAGACCCACTATTTCTAATAAAAAAAAATAAAATAAAAAAAAACTGGTAGCGCCGGGAATCGAACCTGGGACCTCTGGATCTGTAGGAAGGAACTCTGACTACTAGACTACAGAGGCAGTCAGTATAGTTTGCTTGTGCACTACAGGACACGGAGTTTCTTGTTTTGTATTTTTTTTTGCACTTGGTGGGGGGCAGATTAACAGTAATTACAGAATTTGACATAACATAAAATATAAAATTGCGGAATCCCATATTCAGCGATGCTGATCTTTCATTGCATAATACTTACAACATCAATTTCAGTGTTGGAGTGGCCCATGTTGCATACAACACACCCGTTCTTCATCTTATCCATGTGCTCTCTTGTGACAACATTTTTGTTGCCCGTTGCTGTGATGACAATGTCTACATTGCGTATCACCTCATTCAGTTTCACAATGCGGAAACCATCCATGCTAACAACATTTTATACACTACTTTTAAATATATACAGACTGAAACTGGAACACATTTTAAAATTTGTAAGGTTATAAGCATTAAAACCATAAAACATAAAAGGAGGCCCACAGGGTTGTGAGATGCTGAGGTTCCCACATTTTCTAGACAATTGGCTCGCAGATGGCGGTAAGGTTGTCAGCCTTTGCGCAACCATAAGACACAGATAATGTTTATTTCATAGTGTTGCAAGCTAAATCCATACCTTTTTTATTGCTAGTTGGGTGGGACTAAGTCCCTTGTACTGCGGCCATTTCTGTCCTATTGTACCAGCCCCAGATGATAGGTGAGGGTGACTGTGGAGCAATTTGTGGAATGAAGATTGGCAGGGGAAACCGAAGCACTCGGAGAAAACCTGCCCCAGCGCCATTTTGTCCACCACAAATCCCACTTGACCAGACCCGGGATCGAACCCGGGCCACCACAGTGGGAAGCCAGCGACTAACTGCTTGAGCTATGGAACGGCCCCTAAATGCATACTCACTCAAGATCAAAATACAGGCATGAGATAAGAGAATCAATGTAAAGTAAATTAAATGTCATGGAAAGAGAGATTTTGAAACTTAAAGCAAGTATTTGCATATGTAAGCACTTGTACATGTAATTTACAGATCTTTATGCCAAGGAATACAGGATGCAGGATAACACAGAAGCAGCAGAAGTGAGACTTCAGGACCCCTTTCTGGATAAGAAATACTGACATATGAGGACTATTCTGAAAGTAACTTTTATTTTAGGCAGGTAATGTAGGAGCAGGGGGATAGCTTGTGCATGTGACATAGTGTCACATGACTCAGTGCCTTTGTAAACCATAACTTAATTGGTCACCTAGTGTTTGTTCTTGCCTCTACAGAGTGAGTTATGGTGTGTCCTGTGACCGATAATCCTGGTAACTGCGAAACTGGCACTGGTATCCACTTTCTTCATGCCAAGAACATGAGCGATGAGGAATTCCATCATGAATCATGTGCGGCGGTTTATGGCCAAAATGTAATGAGTGAAGGAACTGTAAGATGATGGTGTACAAAGTTCAAAGATGGGCAAACAAATGTTCACAGTGATGAGCAAAGTGGTCAGCCGTCTGTATGTAGTAAGTGATGATCTTTTTCAAAGTGAAAGACGGTGCTTCAAATTTTCAGAAGTTTCGTGTGAATTTCCGCAAATTTCACACATTGTCCTCTACATGACTATCACAGTTCGGCTAGGCTATCATGAGTCTTGCACAAGATGGGTTCCAAAGAATGACTTCAGCTTTGACGTAAGAGTGATACCACAAAGATAGCGATGAATTTCTCAATCACACTGTATGAGTAACAGGTGATGAAACCTGGGTTCCATTTGTGAATGTTGAAACCAAGAAGAAGTAAAAGCAGTGGACGCACACATATTCACCAATCAAGCTGAAAAAAGTTTAAACACAGTTGTCTGCCAGAAAGCTGATGGCAACTGGTTTCTGGGACAGGAAGGGAGTGCTGATAGTGGAATTCATGCAACAAGGGACCACATTAATGTCAGAAGTGTACTGAGAAACACTAAACAAACTGTGTAGGGCCAGCCACTCAGAACAAAAGGCACTGAATGCTGATATCTGGTGTAGTGTTCCGCCATGCCAATGCGTGCCTGCATATGAGTACAGCTGCTTGCACTCGAGGATTGCTGGAGCATTTCAACTGGGAGTTGTTTGACCACCCTTCTCACAGCCCTGATCTCACTCCCAGCAGCTACCACCTGTTTACCTAGCTGAAGAACTGGTTGCAATCACAGCACATCAAAAATAATGAGTTGATGGAAGGTGCCAACATGTGGCGAAGCTCATAGGTGGCAGACTTCTTCAACATAGGCATAAAAAAACTTATTCCCCAATACAAGTGTCTCAATTCTGGTGGTGACTATGTTGAGAAGTAGCTTAAGTATGTATGTATTTTTTATATATAATTTTTTTTCTCATTGCTTGATTTGTTAACAGCTCATTGGAGGTTACTTTCCAAATAGCCCTTGTATGTGCTAAACTTAAGATGGATAACACAAAGATTACTACATACATGAAGACACGAAAAATGTATGTACATAAAACAAGTGAAACCAAGTGATTGATGTTAGAATAGATTTTTAAACCTACAAGACAAAGAGTCAGAAAAAGACCTGAAAGATTATGGGGAGATGTGAATGATGATACAGGCGTTAGAATTCTTAATCTGTCATGTTTATGATGATGATAATGACAAAGTTTAAGAAAAAGAAAAGTGAGAACAGGAAGAACAGGATAAGGAGGAAGAAGAAAAACAGGAGGAGACGGTGGAAGATAGGTTTTCAGGACATGGTTGTACATTGAGGCTGTTCCAAAATTTTGGCATGTGCTGCATTGCCACTTTCAGGTTGAAGATGGCAATTGCAATGTATGAAAAATTTGAACAGTCTCAACATACATTTGACATGGCTAAACCCCAAAAGCTGAAATTACACATCAGGCAAAGAACATGTGAACATATGGGCAAGAAATATAAGAAAAATGTTCTGAACATGATAAGACTGATAATATCACTTTCATAAAGCCAAAAATAAAAACAGCAGTAAACCATGTTGTGACACAATGCCTGCAAAATGGAATAATGCTACCAGAGAAGTGAATTGGCATGGGGTTTGGAGTGATTACTGAATTTACTGCATGCTTATTACTTGCAACTACGAACAACTTAACTCTTTCATTAATCTACACAATTCAGTAGTAACTATGGCTGCCATCAGCTGATATTTCTACATTATCCGCTGCTTGGTATTGGTTTCTAACAGCAGATATTCTCTTTTCTGCTTCTGTCCTCACTGACTTGCAACTGAATGCCAACCACCAACTGCAGTCCTGAACAGAGCAAAGCAGAGCAGTAACTTCCTGCTGGCCTTCATCAGAGCCTGGCCAGACCACTCTGAGGTCGAGATCCCGTTGGTCCTCCCTATATAAAAGTTCAGCAAAGATCGTACAAAGAACACAACTTCCAACAGTCCATCTGTTCTTTTGTGAATATTCATTGCAGTAGGAATGTGTTTCTGGGGCCACTGCCTAGCAATGGACGTCTTCCCTGGCTCCACTATTCTGGCTTACAGGTGTCATGTCACAATATGTTAACAAACCATAGACTGTTGAACCAAGAACAGAACATGGAAAACTGTATACTTACCAAGCTTGAAGAGCACAGATTGGATCTATCTCTGTGATGTACACAACACAACCTAGCCCCTTCAGTGCTTGGCAGCATCCCTTGCCAACTTCTCCATATCCACAAAGTACAACTTGTTTGCCCCCAAACATCACATCTGTTGAACGCTTTAAGCTGAAATTACAAGCCACCTGTGTTACAACAAGTTCAACTGCCTGCACTTAGAAGGGACAAGACAGCATTCAAATTGCAAGTTTGACTAAATCAAGTTGGAACCTATATGAAATTTCACTGGCACACATGTGTGAATTCTATTACACAACACAAAGGAACAATGGATAATGGCATTATAACCTCTGTCCTGTCAAAAATTGAAACTGGGTGTGGAGGAAATGATATAAGAGAACATGAGCCGACTTATAATTTCATTATTACTAGCTTAGTAGTATAATTAAAAAAAAAAAGTTTACTAAAGTAAAAATTTTCCACATTCACCTGTCAATAATTGATTCTCGGCAACTGTAGAGATTGTCAAACTTCGTTTTCGTGACTGAGTCATTCACATTCATTGCTGGTACACTAAGCTTACCAGCTTTAGACAACTGGTATAAACGATGTACACCCGTCACACTTTCTTCAACAATACCTGAAGAATGTAAACAAAACACAGACTTCATCAAATAATTTTTAATAATTACATTTTATTTAAAGAAAATTGAATGGAGGATCTGAAATGGGCTGAACTGATTCTCGATAGGATCTGTTTTTTCACTGTATCAGCACATCTGTTGAATAAAGAATAAGAACTGACTGCTTAGGAAAGACCTTACTTCAGGAATTCAACTCTTAAGTATTCAACTTGTATTTGAGGGACACCGACAGACTCTGTTGTCTGGTGGTCAGAGTTCCTGGCTACAGATCCGGAGGTCCACGGTTTGATTCCCGGCACTACATGATTTACTGAGAAGTATTGGGTCTGGAATGGTGCCCACTCAGCCTCATGAGGATAAGTGAGGAGCTATTTCAAGGAAATAGTTTTCAAGTTTCTGTCAACATGATTATATATTGGCCTATCTGGGGTACCGTCCACTTCATGTGCATTCGAGGCATACAAATTTCCTGCATGTATAACATAAGTATGTACTTTTCCTTTTTCTTTTGGACCAACATATAACATGTCTTCATTTTTTTATATTATTCCTTTTTCTCCATGACTCATCTTGACACTGTAACTCACATGTGAGTCTGCTCTTTTGCACTTTATCCCCAGATGATAGTTACTACTTTCTTGGCAGTTGCTTTGCAGATTCAAATCTCAGAACACATGAACTGTTCTGCATGAATTATATAGAAGAAAAAAAAAACTGTCTAATTCTACATTGGTAGAGAATCTCTTCCGATGGTCATCAGAATTGCTGGCAGCAGCACAATATATCGAACAGCACTACCGGAACTGAGACCAATACTGGTATATTCCTCTTCACAGTCACTGTCAGAAACTGAACAATCTTCTGCAAAATATTCACATTCATCTACATCACTTCCTTCTTCATTGTCCAACCATCCAAAGACAGACTGTTCAGAAATCTGATCACTATGGATCACTGTACATGAGATTCCCAGAGTACAGTCTGTAACATTAGCATCCAGGTCTGGTGTGCCACACCACTAGTGTAAACAAGAGCGAATAACTTGTCTATGATAGTGTTCAACTGAAGTGACATGGGGTTTAGTGGCAGAAAACAATTACAGTGACTCACAGAATCATTGGCTGAACCGATAACAGAATACAATCTGCTTTGGCTTACTGCGGCTTCACAGACCAGACGTGAACACTTAAGAGTTAAAAAATACTCTCAATATATAGACAAAGCTATTAACAACACTTAGGAGAATGGCCTGGAGGTACATTATTGCTGGAATTATATCTAACGTAAATGAGCTAGAAAGGAGACTGTAGGTCATAATGGCATATGAAATTTTAATAATCTTATTACTATACATTATTCATTAATATACAGCCACATATATCAAATCTATATGCATTAAGTGCAGACTGTCTGTGACTCTGTATATGTTATGTTCTCACAACATAGTAATTTTCACATACTTACACAAGTGGCAGGTCAATGTTAAAAAACCATGCCATCTAAGGGATAAAGATGTAATATAATTTAATGCTTAAGTGGAGAAAGGAGGGAAGAAGATAAAGGTATGAATAAGAAAAATCAAAAGAAGAAAGAGAGTTAAGGATCATGATATGAAAGAAATAATTCCGACTGAATTTCAACGGGCTTTTTCACAGTAGAAATCACGTGAAGAAGACATAAAACTTCAATTATCACCCAGGAGAAACAGACACACAGGTGCAAGAAATTGTGAGTTAGTCCTTCTCTACATATGCCCCCTGCAAGGCCATACATTTTCCCCAGCGATGCATTAGCTGCTGGATACCTTCATCATAGAAGGTCTCATTTTGACTGTTTAGGAAGTTCTCCACTGCAGAAATTATATCGTCTTGGAATCTCTTACCACGAAGTGGCTTCTTTAGCCATGGAAAGAGGAAGAAGTTGCTCGGTGCCAGGCCTGGTGAATATGGTGGATGGGGGAGAATTTCATATCCCTAACTGGCAGGAAGTTGTCATTGTAGCATAAGCAGCAGGAGCCGGTTCATTGTCATGAAGAAGTCGCACACCTTTTCTCAGCATTCCACGTAGTTTTTTCTTGATTTCTTCCCATAATTTTCTCAGAAGGTTCCAGAAGTAGTCACCAGTGATGGTGATGCCCTTTTGCGCGTAATTGATCTTGATGACACCCCGCCAATCACAGGACACACTCAACATCACCTTTCCTGATGACAGCTGGGATTTGGCCTTCCTTGGTGGTGGAAACTGCATGTTTCCACTGCTTGCTCATTTCTTTTGTTTCAGGGTCATAATGATAGACCCAACATTCGTCCATCGTGATCAGGCAGTCAAAAAATTCCACCTTTTCATCTTGACACAAACTGCATTTTTTTTGTCACATCCATCCATTGCTGTTTTTCAAATGGTGTCAACAATCGTGACACCCAATGCACAGCAACCTTTGTCACGGATGATGTTGAAAACTGACCCATCGCTGATGCGGACCTCATGAACAATAGATTCGATAGTTATGTGCCTATTGGATAGGATCAAAGCTTTCCACCTGTGCCACAATTCCCGGTTCTTCAGCAAGAGATGGTCTTCATTTTTGAGGTTTGTCTGTGCACAATGAAAGCGCCCCTTCCACTTGATCACTGTGTCATATGATGGTACACCTTCCTGATGCACAGCGGTCATCTGGTCGTGGATCTCCCTGGCAGACTTCCCTTGCACTGTATCACAGCGCGAGCCTCCACTTTCTCAACCGACTTCACCATTTTGCTTCTGCCCTTTCTGGTGGCTCCCTCTGTCCACTTGGTGCAGGATAATCTGACTGTTCAGGAAGCTCAAGAAATGGGCTATCTCCTATACAGAACGATATTTTGGAATTATTATTTTCTCATGGTGATAATTAAAATATTATGACGTCCCGTTGTACATTAAAGTAAACTCTCAATTATCCAGGAGTGGATGAAAATCCATTAGATATTCATTACAGTTTCCCATAATAATTTAGGTGTTGCCCATTACGCCTGTCTCAGTAATATGTATCTCTGATACTAAAATTCTGCATGCATTTCTCAATTCTTTCATGTACGCTTTCTGTCCATTCACGAATTAATCAAACCTTAGAATAGCACATAAATACAAATTAGGAAGCTTCTAAGTATGTAATTTTCTCCAAATATTGCAACTGTATTACTTAAATCATAGTTTTGTAAGTCTATCTTCAGGTTTCTAGATATGACACAGGAAAAAGAAAAACAAACTGAACAGAACGAAGCATTTTCCAAATTGAATCTATCCTAAATTCCATCACTAATTTACAGAAATTGAATAATAAACTACATCAGCACAGACAAGTAGCTATGGCATACCATTCTGTTACTGTGACAATTCTTACCTATTCTGAATATGTCAGACTGAACAAGTTTGTGGAGCACAAAAGACAATACTTTTCCCCCCGTTTTAAACAATTCAGCCAGAATTTCATCAATTCCTATGATTTATACCCTTTCAACTTCTCAACAGCAATCTCAAAATTAGCAACATTAGACTCAGATGGCTCAACTGTGTGCATTTTCAGCAGCCAAAAATTGTTTGACATGATGCCTAAATGTCAGAATCTTGGAATCAGAAAAATGTTGCAGAGGCATCCACTGCTAGGTAATGTTGACAACCAAGTATGTGCACAATTAACACATTGAGGACTGGTCACATGATATCATGCTTTTGCCTTTTAAACATGGCAGACCGGTCGCATGATATCATGATTTTAGGACTCATTAGGTTGCAACACACTATACCTTGCTATTTTGCTGTGCAGCTGAATAGATACTGAGCCATAAAACTCCTGAATGTCTGATTAGTATTCAGTAACATGACCTAGCCGCTTTCTTTATCCCCTCTAACAGTAAATGCTTTGCCTGTCTTCATTTTGTTTGTATCAACCAGTAGTTAGTGGTGGGGTATGGACAAGGACAAATTCTTCTCTGATGAGCTAGCTGACCTGCCTTGTGGGACTGGTGATTCAGAGAGTGGCAGTGACAGGGGAGAACAAAGACTTGTGGTCACAGACAGTAAAAGTGAAAGTAGCTTAGATGAAAATGCGGGTAGGACCATTGCGGGGACAGCAAAAAATCTAAAAAAAATCACAAAAATTTAAACCCTGATTCAAAATTGAAATACAAAGCATTTCTGATGAATGTGGCAAAGGCCTGAGCTATAGACCAGATGGTGGCGGCAGAACCAGAGTCAGACACAGACTTAGTGCGACCGGGCCCATCAACTCCCACCCCACACAGGCCTCATGTGGACCTCCCAGGGCGACTCTCAGGTGATATGTGGAAACATACCCTCATGAAAACTGTGAAGAGTGAACATTCCAAGGGGAAGCATCCTTCTAGGCAATGCCATGCTTGCACAGTTCACACAAAAAAAAGGGAGGGGGGATGAGTGTCTACATCGCAAGTTCTGTGTAATAGCACTTTGCAAAGGGGAATCTTTCCAGAAATATCACACTCTCAAGCACTTCTAGGAGCACTGGTAAGTGTTCTCCATAAATTTTAGTTCATAAAATTAATTACAAGATTTTATATAAATTTTTAAAGTGAACAGTGCACAAGTTAGGATAGTAGGTTTAATAATGGCGGTCCCCAGGGTGATTTAAATATTTAAATTGCCAGTCCTCAATGTGTTAGAAACTGTTGGGGCTGGCGTTTTCCTGCCAGTTTGCAATAAAGCAATATACAGAGAAACTGAAACCTCACAGTCTCTATTACCACAGCCCGAAACCTAGTAACATGTGACAGCAGAGACAGCAAGAAAGCAGGCATAACTGATAAAAGTGGCTGTGAAACTATACTGCATAGTTGTACAAAGTGTAATTATTTGTAAATAAGATGATTCAATGCCCAATAAATCAAATTATTAATCTGAATCCCTTGTACAGTCACAATCACATGACAATATTAAATCAATTTACATTTCATTTACTAGCCAACAGAAGAAATTTGTCCACCAATTCAAAAGAGTGTGGGAGTATGCAAGCACATTACAATTCTAATGCTGATATTATCCAATTTATGCATTTGTTTCTGGTACCTTTTATCATCTTGAACATGGCTGGATACTTCTTCAGCATGAGATGAGTAGCATCACCACCATCATCAAGAATCATGTTTGGCTGCCAATTTTCTGCATTCACACACTTGTCTATGCACCACCAGAAATCTTCTTCTGTTTCTCCACGCCATGCAAATATGGAGAAGCCTGAGAAAATAATGCAAAAAAAACCCATTATGATGCAATATATTCCAAAACTGCTAAAGCAAATCAATAAAATAAAAAAAAGTTCTTCTTAATTTAGTTTGTATGTATGTTAAAATAAATACTAGAATATGCAAACCAGGAATTTGCACTCCATACAACCTAATTACAACATTTACTTAAATAAAAAACTGCTGAGTGAAACTTGTATACACCTTTTTAGTTCACAAATGACTAGCTTCTTGATCTTGGTAGCAGATGAGCACTGGCTTCAGGTTCCATGACTCATATGTTAAATTAGGTTTACAATATGATGACACAAAAATTCAATGAATCAAAACAGATTACTCTAACTAGATTTGGCTTGAAAGCAGAAGCAGTACACTCTTGATAATATATCAACTAGTAATTAGAATAAATAAATAAGTAAATAAATAAATAAATAAATAAAAAGCAAATATTTGGCTCCTACGAAAATACAAATTAGTAACTAAATGATGCTGTCCTTTTATTTTTACAAGATTTAGAGTCAAATATTTTCCAAAAGTTTAACTTACATCCATTCAAATTACCATCCTAGCCCCATGTTGTGGCCTACCTAACTTACCTCCAGTGTCCTCCGGTCAGCAGTACCTGCCCCCATACTAACATGCTTTCTTACTGCTGCACACAAACAACTTAGGGCAACAAAACTCACTCACCAGGTTATCAACCATGGCAATGTAATGAGAAAAAAGATGATACATAACCTTCAAAATATCTCCATGCAGAAATACATAACACTTTTCAGAAAATAAATGGGAAACACTTCAAAAATGTACTCACCAGCTTCGGCAAGAGCTGCCCCAACTTCATTCTGTCAAAGGAAACAAAACAAGTTAGAAAAAACTGAACTGGAAGAAGGGAAAAGCTTCTTGCAAATTTCATATTTCTGTAACCTTTCAGCTATTAATAAAATTAAGTATACATAATAACAAACTCACCTGTAAGACAAGTATGACTTTCTTCCCATTAGAATTAAAAAGACCTTTGGAATATTTTCAGGAACCCAAATTACTTCCTCTGTAACCTCAGTTCACTCCCTTCCAATGTAAAACTAAATTTTCAGTGCTCTCTGGCACTGCATAGGATATGTAATTGAAAAATACTTAATGAAGTGTATTAGGATTACAAGTTACACGTTTTATCAACAACGTGTATGTGGTACACGTAACTGTTGGTATCTAGAAGGTTGTGAAGAAGTTGCCACTTAATGAGAACCACAATACTCATTAATAAACTTTACAGTGTGAGGTAGCTAACAGATGGGCATTCATGCACCTTTGAATGTCGCTTGCATTTACTATTATGTAAGACTGGTAACATACAAGGACAACACCATATTTTGTTAGAAGCTTCTGTTGGCAAGCCCAGGTGCTCATCAGTCACTGTGGCTGCCAATGGACTTTACAGACACAGTACTCTCCTTTGTAAACCATCGGCCATGAATTAACTTGGTTTTATTAATTTATTCATTAAATTAAATACTATTGACATTCTCAAGACAACCTAGATGATCAATATGTTTGTTTTACACCCTTGGCTACCAAGGAGGAGGTACTACTAATTAACATAACTCTGGGAGATAAGCAAGGGCAGATTGTGTTGCCTGGCCTGTGTGCCCCCCCCCCCTTCCTTCTAAAAAAAAAAAAGGTAAAGGTATAGCTATTCCTTGTAACAGGCTGTGGAGGCCCATAGGGTTGTGAGATGTCAAGGCTCCTACATTTTCTAGACAATCGGCTCACAGATGAAGGTGAGGTCAGCCTCATATGCTTGCCACCCTTTACCCCCAGGAAGATTCCTGGTACTTATTTCTGTTAAAGATTAAGCTGACCCCAAGGCCATAGTGTGGCTGGAAGAAATAGGTCAATTGAAAAATTAATGGCCTCATCAGGAAACGAACCAGCGACCCTCCAGCTTGTAGCATAATGCCTTAACCAACTATGCTACTGTGTGTCCCACTTGTACCATCTCGAATGTTTTGGAAACTGGACGGCTGCTGGAGAAGATGAATGTCATCCACAATCATCCTAGAACCTTCCCTATGGGTGACATGTCCATAAAATAAGGTACACAGTGAGATAATATGTCAGTTTTCAGCTCAGTGCAGTCTGCAGTCTAGTGCTGGGATGCAGGCAATACAGAGCAGTTCAGCAGAATTCCAAGGAAGTGAGTGTAATACTGTGAAGTAATGAGTGAACAGAGGACTGATCGCAATATAAAGTGGCTGTGGATAGTGGGACAGTAACTGCTCCATAAACTGATAACTGTTACATTATACCCTGTGATTTGGCAGAAGGGATTATTTGGTCAGTAAACGAGGAAGTGCTTCATGGAGCGAGTGGCATCTTGAAAATTTTTAAATTCCTTTTGATGATTCTGATTTACAGTTGAAAACACCAAGCATTCCAGGACTGTGGATTCATAAGTTTGCAAAAGTAACTGCAAGATCCAGTGTGAGTGTTCCAAGTATTAATGAAGATAATGACAATAAAGTAATGAAGTCTTGTGTTAATAATAAGGGAAATGAGAATAAGTGGTGTGTGATATAATGAGTGTTTTAGTAGGACAGTGACTGCCTTACAGAATGAAGTGACAAACTCAATGAGATTTGTGTTTCAATGTGAGGATTTAGAACTCGTAACTGAAGCCTGCTAAATACACCTACACCATTCAACTGACTGACTCCATTTCTTGTCAGAAGCCCCTCATAAATGCTCTAGATAAATCTTGTTTGCAGTTTGGTCTTGATTCTGAAACCCAAATTAGCAATCCAAAGTTCTGAGAATTCTGATTTCTTGGCGATTCTGAGATTCGAGAGACAACCATGATCCTTGAAAAAGCATGACCATGAGATGACAACCTGACTTAAAAACTCACCTAATGGGAAGCCTGTGATTGTTTTACTGCTTGAAGTTTCTTGGCCCTCAGACTAGTTGACGAAAGAGCACTTTCAAGACCCCCTTCCAAATTCAGTCTACTTCTGTGTTTAGTTTTAATTTGAAGCAAAGTTGAATATCTTACTTCACAGTCAAAGGTTGCTGGGAACGGAAGAATTTTCAAAACGGTGTTTGTGAGCACTGGATGACCGAGTCCGCAGATATAAAACTGTGCTTCCAAAAACGAAGAAAACTTGCTTTTGATGCCAATGACAGCTACCACTTCTACAAATTCGTCTTATGAAATTGAGTTTTGTTTCCTGATTTCATTAACTTATTTACTTTGAAAGACTCACTTGCTAGCACTTCACAGCACATGTTATACTGTGGCACTTCTTCACCAGTAATATGTGTTGAGGTAAATGCATACTTTACAAATTCCTTTTGACTCTTTTTTTGATGTCTTTCAATGGTCCCCCCATAATCACTTTACAATTACATTATAAAAATGCATACACAACAGTGATATATTCAGACAGAATCAAGTAGTGAAATAACCTGTAGAATAGGTAAGCAGTCTGTCAACACAAATGTTAAGCACCCACAAATGTCGCTGTTGTGAAACAAGACATATGACTGGAAATTCTAATTCCACAGTTAGGAATCTTAACATGTTATGTGGCTGTAAAGAGAAATGGAATCAACCAAAAATTTAACTCCACAATGTACTTTAAGATATGAAGTAAAATATGCAGGGGTGTAGTCGTAATATTGTACAAGAGTTCTAACAATTAATTCTTGTAAGATCTGAGGCTTTCACGGCGGTGACTATGAAGAAAGCAGTCTTCTGGGATTTGGCACCGTGTATATGTGGTGTTAACCGACGTTTCGGAGGAACGTATCGCCTCCATCTTCAGGGTAGAAGAAAAAATATAAGAAATCTGCAAGCGAAGAGACCGTGAGAATCGGTAAAAGCAGACTGTGTCTGGGGACAAGGAAAAGAAATCTATACTAATCGAGACCCTACACTGAGCAATAATGAACAAGAGTCTGATTGCAGCAATGAAGACCACCTTACAAACTGTCAATAAATGCATGAAAAAGCTGGATTTTTGCCTAATAACATCAAATGCAATACACAAATATTACACAGAAAAAAAAAGACATCTGACACCACTACAAGTGGTGACAGACTTCAAATACAATAAAATATGGATATTAGCGTTTTTTCCACACACTTTTGAGTATATCAGTTTTATTAAAGTGAAAGAATAAGTGATTTTGGTAATATATACACAACCCATGTGAACATTTCCTGTAACCCAATTTTTGGTTGCGACCCATAGGTTGAGAACCAATGGTCCAGCCTATTTATCACAAAAGGGTAGGATGGCTGGTGAAGGATAATTTGGAAGGATTTAAAAGGCAGCAGTTGTGACTTAACTGAGCTGTTACCCTGAAATATGCCCGGAGGGAATGAGGAAAACCACAAACTACCCCAGTTAGGATAGACCTGTGTCCTAGACAACATTGAACCAAGCACCTTCCAAATACAAGTCTACAGCATTACCACCACACACACAAAAAAAAAAACTCTCACCACGCTCATGAGATGTACAGGTACATACAATGTGACACGTGAGTTCTAGTATACAACATACTAAACCAAGTTTAATAAATTATGTCTACTGTCACCAAGTCTTAAAACTATTAGTAACAGAACTTTTTATATTTTTGTCATCATTTTATTTTATTCTATTTTTTGGCTTATTTGTCTTTTATATATGAACCACTTGACGTGTTCCATATCCTACCTGTTGTACTGTGGATCTATGGAATGTAAAATAAATGAATGAATGAAAGGCAAGAAAATTGGAGGGAGAAGAGGGTAACTACACTTCCTGCCTACAACATCCCCAAGATGTCTTGCACACAGGAAATGTAAAAATAACATGTTTCTCTGTTACAACTTACCTGTGTTGAGTAGATATTACATGCTGCCCACCTTACTTGAGCTCCCAGTTCTGCCAGTGTCTCAATTAATACCTGAAATCATGGCTGCCATTAGCACAGATCACAGAACTACGATCACAATGATTTCCAAATATATTATTTGAAACTTACAGCAGTCTGTGCATTTATGTGAGTACATCCCACGATCTTGGCATTTTTCAGTGGTTTATCATCTCCAGCACGTCTCCTCAAAGCCATGATGCCTGGCATCTCTGTTTAGTAAAAACAATTTTTCTGTGACTTTGAAAGATAAAATTGACACCTAACATAACAATTCCCTACAATGGCATGCCAATATTAATAAGTAACAAGCCTGCATTGAGACAGGATTTATACATGTGCCTCCTTTTGTAAGACTTTATTCAATGAAATTCAACGGTGTCTTAATTTTTGTACTCACTGAGAGTATATACCTTTTTTTTTATTGCTAGTGGGGTGGGACTAAGTCCCTTGTACTGAAGCCACTTCTGGCCTATTGTACCAGCCCCAGATGATAGGTGAGGGTAATTGTGGAGCAATTGGTGGAATGAAGATTGGCAGGGAAAACCTGCCCAGTGCCACTTTGTCCACCACAAATCCCACTTGACCAGACCCGGGATCGAACCTGGGCCACTGCGGTGGGAAGCCAGCGACTAACTGTTTGAGCTATGTAGTGGCCCGAGTATATGCCTTGCCATAATACTTGGGCTACCGTCACCCAAACATGCTCTACTGTACCTTGTTCTCAGACAGGAAACTTATAAAAGCAAATATTATAGAGACAGAGCAGAAATAGCCCAGAACTCAACTCAGGTTGGACCCACAGAAAATTTCTTCTATTTAAGGTGTGCCATGGTGACAAATATTGCATTACAAAATAACAGTGACTCAACCACTGAACTTTTCCTACCAAAAAAAGAAAAAAAAAAGTGTTCATTGCCCTCACCACAAAATGCCTCTAAAAAGGACCGTGTTGATGTATGTCACGTAAAAACAAAATAATTCATGTTCAGGAACTGTTACCTTGTAGCTCTAAGTATATTAATGTGCTATGTACACACTCTGCATCACCTGAGAACTTCATGCAAATCACACAGCCCATATTGGAAGAGACAGATGCTCCTCCCATCAATCAATGTGCAGAGATTTAGACTCATAGCACAACAAAAAAACCAAGAGCACATACATGTTATGATTTCTCTTAAATTTCACCATAATAAATCACTGAACAGCTATCACGAGGTGGCCCTCTGCGTTATGTGCCGGCCTATTCATAAATCTCAAATAGTATGCTCATACTCCCACTGCATTTGACTTGTGCAATAAGAGTTATTTGCTATCACATTACTTTCTTTGTCAAAAAGCCCTGTGTGAGTTACACAATGGAATGAATGTTCACATATAATACCTACATGAAACTGGTGTGGGAAAAAGAGAAGATTCCAGCAAACATCTCAGGATGTTATGAATCCACACCGAAAAGCTAATCATACAATCATAAATAAATTAAGACAAAAGAGATCATTACAGGGGGGACCCTCAAATTAAAGTTCCGATTGTTCGCTAAAGAAAAATTGGATGAAATTAGTGTAATTCTTGAATATTATTGTTGAAAATTCCTCAGACACCTTCCACAGGTAACCAGAATTTTAGAGTTTCAAATTTGGAACATGTAATATGGGGCCCTCCTGGCATCTTGGTTTTGTCTGTAATGTCAGCCTGTACGCTTGCAGATTCTGCTGCCAGTCTGAGTGTTTCTGGCTGAGCTTCATGGGAGAGGCATCAGACTCTTCTGCTCAGCAGGAAGTTCAGTGATTGAATCGGGTTCTGTTATAATTACACTGTATATAACCACTGCTCAAATGATCCCATAAACATGAATATGATAAAGATTACAACCTACCTTGTTCTGCAATTTCAATCTCTCTCCTACCAAATGCATGCTGACTGATGTTTCTTACACAGAAATCTGAAAACCCCAGGGAATTCTTCTGTATTCTCTCTCTTGGAGAAACATGTTCCTCATCTGAACTGCTACCTGTATATGAAGCTGAAAATATTAATGATCGTAACTCGGCATACAGAAAAATGTTGATCACTTCCGTGCTCATTAAATTATAATTACAAGTATGCAGCACAACAGAGAGCATTTTTGAAACATTTTTATTCTGAAGTTCAAGCAGTGAGGTCACCTTATGACAACCTTGGAACACATCATTTGTTTAATCCACATACTGAAATAAATTACTGTTTAATACTCATCACAATAAAAGTGCCACAGATATCCGTAGAACCTGACCACATGGCCAGACATTCATATACATTCAATATACATCACACAGATAACTTGAAAGAGTTATGCCATCACTTTGTCAGTACTTGCAAATACACAACATACATCACACATTAGTTTACAATGAAAAAGAAAATTTACATAATGAGCGGTACTCGACTGCTGTTTGCTCTTCTTGGCAGAGATACTCCTCACTGGAAGTGAATATATTTCAAATTCCTATCATTATACAAAATTTACAGACACTAAATTGAACGATTCAGTGCTGCCCCCACTTGCAACTATTTGCATGCATTGATGTAAAAATTACACACATTACTTTTAAATATGGCAAGTTTTAAATATTTTCATTATGGTAAATACCAGTATTCAAGGAAAAATTTTTACGAAAAAATCACTTGCTTCCTTTTCATGGAAATGACTTTAACTTTCCCAACACAATCACAGAAAAATATGTGGTGCTAATTTTCATTTGGAACTTAAGTGGGAACCTACAATTGTTTTTTTATAAAGGGATTAATACCTCAAACCAAAGGCATCAGAAAGGTACACTTCAAGTTCAACTTTGAAGCTGCCATATCTCATGAAATATCTATTAAAATTCTTCATAGATGGATTTATCTGAAGGACATTCTGTTTCTGTGCTTCTTCTCACCTTCCTGTTCTTTGAGGCCCATGTATTCGGGCACTGGAAAGAAAATTCTGTCACAAGAGAGACTACTCCAAAAAAAAAAAAGTATGCTATTGTGCCCAGCTTAAAATTGTGCACTATTTAAACAAAGAAATACAATGCAAATAAACCTCAAGATAACGCTCATGTTAACTTTCTACCCTCATTATGATGTTCAAGGTAATACATTCTTATGGTCCCAACCATGATCCTACAAAATGCTTAGACCAACACACTTTCAGACTGCTAAATTTCCTTATGTAACACTTTTATTTTAAAATATTTGTCAAGAAAGATACCTGAGCTATAAGAATCAGTTGAAGATGCAGATAAGGAACGGCTTCGATAGCGACTAGACTTCTTCAAGGCTCCGGAAGTCTTTGAATCCTAAAACAAAGAAAACATGTCAAAGTTACTGGATCTTCTAAATTTATGTGATACCTGTGTCAGAGCAGTTCTACAAGGAAGCCAGCTTTGCGATTCAAGCCATACAGACAACTGTTATGATAAGTATCCACAACGGTACAGACACATCTGGTGGGACTTATAATTTTTCTCTTCCAGTTGCAGTTGCTTATTTATAGATATTCATCAGTGTACAGTAGATATTTATGAGACGTCACATGTCAGAACTCCATGCTGCATGTGTTACTAAGTACACAGTTTAGGCCACGCCACAGCTCAAGCAGTCAGTCGCTGGCTTCACACGGCGGTGGCCTGGGTTCAATCACAGGTCTGGTCAAGTGGGATTTGTGGTGGACAAAGTGGCACTGGGCAGGTTTTATCTGAGTACTTCGGTTTCCCCTGCCAATCTTCATTCCACCAATTGCTCCACAATCACCCTCACCTATCATCTGGGGCGGGTACAATAGGCCAGAAGTGGCCGCAGTACAAGGGACTTAGTCCCACCTCACTAGCAATAATAAAGAAGTACATAGTTTCAGTTTCCTTCACTTTTACTTTTTTTCTTTTGTTTCCCTTTATTTCAATCTCCTTCTCTTCCTTGCTTAACTTTTCCAATAGTCCATTAAACCAGTGCTCTCTGCTAGTGGAACATGCCCCACTGCTGGGACTTTATGGTTGGTTGGGTGGGATGTGAGGCCTCAAAAATAAGAATGCCCATTAACGATTAATGTTATGCTAATTTCTTGGAAACGGAGAAGCTTCATTTTTACTACGATTTGTTTTCAAAATGAGTGAATGGATGTAAGATACAAAAGGCTATTTATTATTATTATTAATAGAGGGGGTGGGTTTCCCCATGCACTTAGACCAGTTATTGGTCCTCTTTGCATCCCCCTTTAATTTCTACTGTCGCCATACCCTACCGGTACTGGTGTGTGCTATCAGCCCCGTTCAGCCAACGAGGTCGGCCCTTGGTACCTGATATTTCCCCCATCTACCAGAGGCATTGGAAACTACTTGGGCGGGAAACTTGTTGACTAATTTTGCTCAGAGGTCTCCTAGAGACATGAGGATCTTTTTACATGCTGTAAGTCTACGACACGGGACCCACGGCTTAAAAGTCCCTCCCAGAGGACTTGTTCCCTGAATTTTTCTGCCTTTAAAAATTCCACAACCTCCACCGGGTTTGAACCCACATACCGTGAGTCATGAGGTGGGAACGTTACCCCTAGACTACGGAGGCCGCGCTACAAAAGGCTAAGAATCAATGCATTAAAATATTCTGCACATTTGTGTCCAACTGTCTGGATTATGTAGTTCTTTCCCATTTGTGAGATCTCAAATAAGAGAAGCCACTGCTTGAAACAGAATTGCATGAACAGAAAACAAAATATTCATGCACACTATTAATCACACACTGTTAATCTTGTTTTCCCCTCATTTCTGCATTAAACAGTTTACATTAATTGTAGATAATTTTACATTATTTTAAGCTCTGTGTTCTTAAGGCCAGGACTTTCTGAAACGCAAAAGAATCCATTTAATTCAGGCTACGCTTTAGGCAGGTTTTACAGTAATTTACTGTAAAGTAAGTAAAGCTATCCCTGTAACAGGCCGTGGAGGCCCATAGGGTTGTGAGATGTTGAGGTTCCCACATTTTCTAGACAATCGGCTCATAGATGGTGGCAAGGTTGTCAGCCCTATGCGCCGACCGCCTTTACCCCCAAGAATATTCCTGGTACTCATTTCTGTTAGAGGCTGAGTTGACCCCAGGACCACAGTGCAGCTGGAAGGATTAGGTCAATTGAAAAAATCCAATGACCTCATCAGGACTTGAACCCGCAACCTTCCGGCTTGTAGAATAGTGCCTCAACCAACTACACTACTGCCTGGGGCAATATTTTGTACTCTGTGGAAACAGTTCTCTTCAGTGAGTTGACACACATTGCTACACTATAAATGCATCTGGAAAACTGTAAATGATTTACTGTGATGACAGACTGTTGACAGTTAACTTCTCACTTAAGATGCTGCAGCCTGGAATTTCTGAACTCAATACATTTTACTGCATTTCAAACACCTTGTATCTTTACCCACACATCAGATCAGAGGTGCGCGACTGCTAAAACACAATAAGATCAAATGACTTATTGATTCTTAAGTTTATTAATGAAACTGCATCAACATATGAGGCCATGTAGCTCAGGTCCTCTAAGGATGGCAGAATGGACCCATGTGAGGTTTGTCCAGTCGGGCAAAATGTATTCATAAAATCTGACACTAAGTATAAGAGCATGCCTCATTCACAGTAATAGTCTACAATGTGAATTGTTAATACATCACTTGAAATTGTTATAAAATTCAGGCACCTGAAAATAAAAGTAACAACAACTGTGATCTGTGTAAAACATATTTCCAGAAATTCTCGCTACAATTACACTTCATAAACTGGACTACTTTTCAGCTCATTTAAAACATTCATGTTTTACCAGTCAAATTTTGATGTCTGTGAAATGTGGTTTCTTATTTGAAAAAATTTTAAAACAATGAAAATGTATTTATTTATATTTCATTTAAATAATATAAACTATGCACTTTACATGGAAGGAGGATTAGTGAATAAAAAATATTGAACCTAGAAGGGAGTGGCTATTACCTAATTTGAGGTATTATTCTGAAGTTTGTCTGGATGGACTGAGAAAAACCATGAGAAACCTGTCAGGATAATCAGTCTCTGAGTTCAGATTTCTATCTAAATCTTCTGAATACGACACAGGAGTAGTACCCATATGATTATGTAATTCAGGGAAAACAATGTAAGAGAAGATAAACTATGGGAAGGAGACAGTTATTGCAGGTAGCACTACACAAACCATGAGATATCTAAACTAAGGAGCTCAACAAGAGAGAACTGGCTCCGGTTTGGTTCACTGGACTTCTGTTCCAACAGTGATGAATATGTGGGGCCTTGTTACTCACCCCAACATCCATTTTGTCCCTCAGCATTGCAGTTAAAAAATATGATCTTAAAACTATAGCACAAATACAGCAAACAAACAGTCAGTTGCATGTTAAACAGTATAAAACCATTATTTAAATAAGAGGCAGTGCTTTGTGGTACTCTTACTACTAAACAAAACTGTACATGATTAGTAAAGCAGTATATCTTGCCAAGTGAGAACTCCTACTGTCTAACAAACTCTAAAGCTTCAAAGTCATGAGTGAATAAACATTTTATAACTCTGTAGGTCTGTTTACATAACTACCTAATACAGTACCTATAATAACCTGCTCATATACACTACTGTCCTTGAATTTCTGTTTGTAAGAGTCATTTCTGAACAAGTGGATATAAAATGGTTATACTATGAAAGGCCAAACCATACACCAAACACTGGTAATGCAGCCAGGCGAGTCTCTGGCACAGTGTATCAATCAATTACAAAACTATGGACAGCAATAAAATATATTTAGGGGTTATAGCATTCAGCATGTTCCCTCTTGAAAGTCATAATATATGTCCACACAATTTTTCATGCATCACTGTAATGGTCCATAAATAATCTTTAACAAATCAAAATGTGGTGACACATTTTTTGGAACTGTCATGTTCTCGATATGCACTTTTCATAAGAAATATCTCTACATAGGTTTTACACATTTCAAATACACATCATACTAATTGACACTAAACATCAAGACAGAACAAGTAACACTTCTGTTTCATATTTGAGTGATCCTGGGTTGAAATCTCTGCCTGGTGACCAGTGGTAAATTCTGGACAGTATTTCTAACCAGGCCATGACAACTTCCTTTCACACCGTCTCCAATTTATCATTTCCAGATCACTCTATGATTCAGTACTATATAACACAGGCAGTTAAAATAGCATTGTTAAATAAACTAAGAATCAGTCAATCACCTTTCATGATGGCAATGACAAAGATACAAATCTAACAAATATGGTGTTGGATGTATGGTATGATATTCATGTAATGGCAACCTAGTTCAGAAGTTGCTAGGAAACATGCAGGCTGAAAACATCTAGTGTACGTGTACACATAATACAAACATTTGTATTTGTTACTGTAATAGACACAGCTGCTGATATTTAGAAATGTCAATGGAGAGATGTAAAATAAGGATATAAATTGGCAAAGTCATTGAAACATAGTCTTCAATTAACCATGTCAGCCAAAAGAATGTAACTGGCTGTCATTTCTTTAATCATAATTCTTCATAACTTAGCATAGCCTGTCTGTAACTTTTCAAAGCCTGTATCAATGTGCAACCTCTGCATTTTGGATTTAGCAGCACTATATACCAAAGCCCTTCCAAAAGTCTGGCATACATCACAGCCACTACTCCACCCTGATGGCAACTGTAATATACACCGAACATTTTAACTATCTCAACATCTTTGTACTGTTAAAGGAGGTAAAGATTAATGTACAGCTGTCTCTGTGCCTAACATCACACACTGAACATGTAGTGGGGGAGTAGGGATATGGAGATAGGGTATGGAAATAATCTCAAACTCACCAAAATATAAAACTCTCAGTTCAATGTAATAAATGTAATATCTTGGATAACTCGCCATATGAAAAGACTTGAATCAGGGGCTCTCTTAAAAATTCCAGGACATCTGCTCATCCTGTAACATGTACAACTAAGACAAGATTACTTCATCATTATATTCAAGCTTACAGACACTACTGAAACATATTTGTCTTGTATGGTTCACAGGCTATTTATCAATTCTGTATAAAATGATGAGCACATGTAACATCACATTATGATAATTAAGTACAATGAGTTCAAATGAAGATGAAGGAAACAGTTATAGAGTATCCCGTAACTCACATGGAAGAAGGGAACAACAAATTTGCACTGAGCCATACTGTTCACTATTTGTTTTCATCTCTGAAGCAAAGGGCAGCATATAAGACAATAAACTATGAAATTTTGTTTCAACAATCTGA